TCTTTTATTTTGGTTGTAACTATATTGAAAAACGATAAAAATACGACATGATAAATTCAATAATAAAAAATGTAATATTTATAATATATGCGCAATATAACATAATTATTAAGCTTAAAAAAAAATTTAATTAAGAAATTAAATATATATAAAATAATTTTTTTTTTACTCCTATTATGAACTTTTTTATAACTTACCTTGTTATGTTGTGTACAGCTTGCATCCGAGTCTTCTAAACCGCTAATTTTTTTTTTACTCCTTTTAGAAGTAAAAAGAGTAGGTATAAAACGAAAGAGTTACTTGTACTAACTCGTAAATAATTATTTACGAGTTAGTACACTGTAATGTTCTAACTCGTTATTAACCTGTAATCTATTTTCTTTGATAGAAAATAGATTACAGGTTAATAGCAAATTGTTAAACTTAAAATGGCAATAATGAATATAACTGTATTAATATTCTGACTCTATAAATTCTTATCTTTTTTGAAAAATCTGATGACATAGCATAAACTGCCCTACTTGAGACCTGAACCATACTAACATAATGAGCCCTAATATAAGACAAGTTATATATTATAAGTTTAATTCATACACTCATACTTAGCTGTTAAAAGTCGAACACACCCAGAGAGTTTACGTATCTTTCAAAATTATTTCTAGAGTTGTCTTATTCTAAAAATGGTGTTATATGAGTTTTTACCTATATGTTTCGTATTTTAGAAAAAATTTATAATCTAACAAAAAAATTGCAATTTTTTGGGAATCGAAATCAAAATAATAAAAAGTTTTTAAATTAAAATTTTCTATTTTACGTATCAAATATTAATGTAGCCTCTATTGATTAATTAGTATTAATAACGTCAGCTCCCTATTATCCTGGATTATAATGAATAAAAACCTATTGCTATTAATAGATTATACCAAATTATAATTTATTGTTAAGTATATGTTTTTTTATTTTCTGTTAATTAAAAATACTAACGATGTAAATATCTATAAACAATATCAATAGCAAAAAAAAAAAAAAAAAATTGCGTTACTGCCAAATTTTAAATGTAATTTAAAAAAATTATAAAAACGATATATAAAAAATAAAAAGTTCAGAATAAAATTAAAAAGTTACAGAGATAAAATATAAATAAATATATAACTCTAAAATTAAAAGCTTGGAGTTAATCAGAAAAGTTAAAAGACTGAGTATAAACCAATTTGAACTTTCCGTTTCTTTCTGAGGAGCTGTTGATTTATTTTGAATGACAATATAATTTACATAAAATATTATACATGGTGTTGTGGTTAGAGTTCTGGTTTCAGAAATGGAGATCTGTGGTTTAAAGCCAGCTTTTGCCATATATGTTTCTTTGGTAAAAAAGGAGGTGTGAACTTCCTGGTTAAATGCTATTCGGGGTGCTCTGTAATAAGACCGTTAGGACT